CAAGTTTTGGGGGAAAAAATTGAAGGAAGAAATACTACCCTATTTCCCTGAAAATAAGACCTCCCCAGATAATAAGCCCAATTGGGCTTTTGAGCGCATGCGCTAAATAAGGCCTCCCCTGAAAATAAGCCCTCCCCAAAAATATTGCAACATAGCAGCAGCCATGAGGTGATCATGCTCACTGCCTCCTGCACCTCAAAAATAATAAGACCTCCCCAAAAATAAAGCCAAGCGCTTATTTCAGGGGTCAAAAGAAAATAAGAAAAACACGGAGAAACATGTTGTGTACATAAATTTAAGCTCCTGCGTACACAAATTCATAGAATATAAAGCTAACAAAATTATAACAAAATTAACAAGTGGCCTTTTCTATTGGCCATGTTGAGAATTACATGTTCTGGCTGGGTTTAGGATTGTTTAGAAACTGGATTAAAATTCAGCAGATAAAGTTTTTCTTAGCATAGAAATTCATCGGCTACATTTACAGATAACATTGTAATTTCTTGAACAAATGCTTGTGGCCAGGTCTACACATAACAAATAACCATAACTGATAGATCTATACATCAAACAAACTGGAAACAGGCAAATAACATTACAGCTTAGTGTGATGTGTGCACCAAGGGCATGTTTTGGCTTTTTTAATTTTTTAATATATTTTAATAGAGAAAGGAAAATGGACACAATTGAGAAGGAAGGTAGGATATCACATCCAGGCTACAAAACCCTGCTCAGTGACTAGTTGGTAGAACATCGTATTCTGTATTTTTCCATTTCCTAGTATTTCAGATGAATACTGTCTAGTATTCATCCAAAATATTGCATCTCAGATTTAGTAGTCTAATAAAAACAGTTTTTTTTAAGACCGATTTTACAACTGAACAAGTATAGCTTTCCCATTTAAAAAAAAAGGAAAAGGAAAGATGGAGAAGAAAATTCTTCATACAAGAGCAAAGGAGATTGATTTGAATTTCAGTACTTACATATATGAATTTAGCAATGGAAAAATTATTTTGAAAAGAGCAGAGCCTTGTTTCTAGGACTGAATGCAAATATTAACATCATGATTTACTTCTTCTGTTAATTTCATGAATATAGAGAGACTGGGACCTAAGGGACCTGAATAAATAAATAAAAATCCCAAAGAAATTTGTCCTATTCATATATTACATAAAAAGTGATAGATATTTTTGTTACATGCAGTGCATTGGAAACAGCCTGCAACTTGCCATTGACTTAATCTACACAAGCATGCATTTTTAATTTCTATTTTTTTTGGTTTTCCATCTATTTCAATTTTATTGCACCTACATGATTCTAAGCAGCTGACACATTCGAACAACAAAAACAAACGTTTATAAATAAAATTAAAAATGATTAAAACCAGTAAACGGCTGGTCAGAATTCATTCATGAAGTCTTATATATCACTGACTTCAGGGTTAGTCTGTCCATCATTTGCCATTTTTTTTCAAGCACTGGGAAAGATGTTCCTCACTGATCTGCCTTCATGTTAGGAGCCCAACAAGTTTAGTCTTCCTGCTTTCAAATAAAAGATTGGATTAACTTCAGTGACCATTAAGCAAGAATATTAACACCTTCCTGCACCGAAGCATTCTTTTCTCTTTAGGATTTCAGAAGGCTGTAACGTCCTCGAAGTTATGCTGAAGATACAGGAATGTGCCTTCTAGGAGGCACCTCTTACTGGCTGAAGAGTGACAGCCGCTTGGTGGGAGAACGCAGCCCCACCATTGATCCGCCTGTCTGACAGCTGCTATATAAAGAACTGTCAGACGGAGAGTTCCCTGTTGCCAGTTACTGAGTTGTTTCACTTGTTAGCTGTTACCTGTTAGCTCAAACAAAGGTTGTTGTTACTTCACAACCTGCCTGGTCTCCATTCTTACCCGCCTGGTTCTCAGAATAAAGCAAAGGAAGCTCCCATTCAGCTCCCATCAGAGAGAGACATCAGGTTGGAGAAAAAGTGGCCAATGGGTCTCCAGCCCACAAACCTGCCTTGTTTTAAAAACTAGTGTGTCAGTTGATAAAATAAATTCCACAAAGTTGCCAAGATGGAAAGCAAAACAGAAGCAAGATCTCTAAAAGATCTCCATCCAAACCACGAGAAGGGGGGGGAAAAAACAAATGTAGAATTACATCATCCAACTCTTGCATTTTTCCTAAATGGGCAATTTACTCACCTAAAACATCAATATTTTTTTAAAAATGGCCTTCAATCAAACCAAGCTCCATTTTGCTCTTTGTATCTATTTTCTATTCTCATTTGGTTCAACTTGGTACTATTTTAGTTTGCCACAATGGGGCATCTGGATCCCATAAAACAATCTTCCCCTCCAAAGTATTCAACTACAACCATCTCCAAAAGGACAGGCAGAAATACAGTTAATACAGAACAGAGATATTGTCTCACTGTTTTTATGTGAAAATGAACAGCAGCGGGTGTTTCAAAACTTAGTTTTGTTTCAAGATGTGCGCTTAATCAGACAAAAAAATCTAAACACTTACTAACTCTCTTGGTTTGTTTGTTTCTTTATTTATTTGTTTGATAAGCCACAAATATGTAGGCAAAAAAGTACTAGCCATCCCCCAGAGAAAGCTTTTACTATGAATAACTGAACTAAATCATTATATAATGTTATCACCAGTGCATGCCAACCATCTAGGATACCTCAAGGGTCACTGAAAGCAACATAATTTCTTGGCTTGAAACTTCAGCTTCATATGTTATTGTTAAGCTTGTCCTTCTTTCATTCCATAATGTACCTCAAAAAGACATGTTGGTGGGAACTCCAAGATCCATTCATTGAACACATAGGTTTGCAACACCCATTTGATATTACCGAAAAGGTAGTAATAGATTCCAATCTCTTACAGGTGGGCTCACTTAAGCCTTTGTTTTAAAATGGCATGTGATGATAGCATTAGATCAGTGTTCTGACCTAGGTTTCCTGAGAAAGCATAAATCATAATCCTAGTCCCAAAACCGCTCTTTTATTTATACAGCTGTGACTTATGGTCATTCACAACCTGTAATGACCAGTCTGTGAAGAGTCTGACAGATGTCTGCTTGAGGTGCCACAGTCTTTCAGGTAATGTTATTAAGTACCCACCTTTATCTCCCTTGAAACGCTGCCAGAGACCTAATTGCCAATTGGTTTTGCAAGGCCAAACATAGCACAGAGTCAAACAGGACTTCTCAGAGCTTGAACCGACTAGATGAACTAATTGCTTCCTGCAAAGGCTCACGTCTGTTTGCTCCTCTTTAATGTCTTATGGGAGGGGCCAATCATCTCCAAGCCTTACTCCCAAGTTGCCCCTTTTTTAAATTGTTCTTGCCTTCTGGCAGCTCTACTCATGCGCACACTGGGAACAGGCTCCACTGTTCTTCTGCCTCACTTATGTCAGACTCAGGAGGCTCCAGAGGCAGCACATAACTACCAGATAGCCCTGGCCCCCTCTCTGCCTCTGATGTAGAGCCCTCATCCGAGCCTTTCCCAGACCTCTATATTGACTCCCCAACCTCCTCACTATCCTACTCTACTGCCAGTTCCGCAGGCCACTAGCAGACCATAACACAGTGTCTCAAAGATTGGAAAAACACAAGTCCTGCAAATTAAGACATTACTGAAAGAAAGTATCTATAGCTGTTGTTCAGAGACATTCAAATGCACTTTATGTCCTGTCATAAGTGATTAATTTGTCCCCTTAACTTCATAAAACCTGAGCATATTAATTTTATCTCAGTCTGGGAGTTTAGTAATCCTTTATGGTGAGTAAACCTTAGTTCTCTTTTTAGGATAGGAACTATTAATAGAGTAGAAAAAGCAAAATGGGCCTCTTTTTTTAAATTCAATGCGCAATTCTGGGTTTTTGTAACCAGTCCCCAAAGAAGCATTTCATTGGACATAAACCTTCATACATTCATTTTTCATGAACAGACCGCATTTAAAGAAAATGTTACACATGACCTGGAAAATATTTTCTATTTTTTGAGCTAGCCTAACTTTCCTCTCTGGATCAGCCAGTTTTCACTTCACAACCCAGAAAAAGTTCAACTTTTACAAGACTACTGAATAACTAATCTGATGAACTAAAACTGTAAAATATTTACTTTTACAGCACTATAGAAAATCTGATGGAAGCCTTCTTTATAGCATCATATCCTCACCATTTACAGTATATAGTCTTCCACTGCGTACTGCAAGATTTCTTTCCATTTTGCAAATTTGTTCCAAAAGATCTCTGTACCTTTTTTCTTACCCATATTTCATAGAACAATTGTTATAGAAAAGTCCATTTCTAATTAAATATATATTGTTGTCAACCATGCTTTAAATGACAGAACTGCAATATACGTGTATTTTTTTAATAATGGCAAGAATTCATTATGAATACTGTCATTTGAATACAGTGAGAATTTATAAGACAAATCACTCCTTAAAGACCACTGTTTTTTTTCTTCCCTTTGTCAAAACTCACAATAAGTTGAAGAATCAAATTTGTTACATCCATTGGAGTGGAAAAAATACAATGCTGCTTCTTTTATCACATTTAAAAAATAAAAACTAGTTTAGACTCTAATACTATTTTTACTGTTGTTAATTTTTCATTATTTTAACAATTTAAAATTATTTCTATTATTTGCCTTGTGCCTATTACATGTTTTTTTTAAACTTTTCACTCATTTCAAACAAATACTTCTCATTTTTCTCACCCTAAATTGTTTGATGTTTCTGAATTCTTAAAACAATAAGTGTTGTGATTGCAATCCTAAATGGAACTAAATTGAATTAAGCATAGGTAGACTAAATGTTCACATATAGGTTTGTACTTTTAGTGGCTCTAAGCTACTATTCCTTCAGCTTTAATAGTGACCTTCTATAGAAATGGTGCTATTGTGTGTGTGTGTATAATGTACAAAAAGATTCTCTTTCTCTCTCTATTGCTTTTTCACAAAATAGCATCAAAACAATATATTTGTAAGCTGTATATAGAATGAAGCAAGCATATTGTGTTACACAGGTCAATCATAGTCCAGTGACATATTTTCTCATAATCTTTAGAGGTATATTTATATTCATACAATCATCTTCATTATCTAATAAAGAACATTCCTCCCCCATGCGTACATATTTCTTTGCATTATGCCATTGTACTGTAGACTAAAGGACAACTTCCTTTAGTATGCCTGGAACAGGAATATCAAAAGCACTACATTCAGCGTGACCGATAAGCAAGAGTGTCAAAGGTGAAGTGAGGTGCCTCAAAATATGGCTGCTTGCTGTTGACTCCTTTGGTGAGTGTTAAAGTTCAGTGAAGTCAGTTGGCTGTGCTAAGTGAACAACCAGTGGGCGAGTGATGCAATCAAGTAGAAAGCACAAAGGGTTATCCAGTCTACTCGTTTTATAGATGGCCAGTTACCTTTCACACGGAGGACGGCACTGGAGGACACTGTGCCGCTAGAATTTTTAGCCCGAACCACATACAGTCCAGCATCTGAATCATACACCTTCTCAATGAACAATGTATATTGTGTATCCTGGTGTAAGAGCTTTATGTGCTCATCTCCCATCACTCTCTGGCCCTTCTTGTACCTGGAGTAGAGAGTCAGGTTTCAAATCAGGTTAATATGAATGTTGGATGCAGCAATGATAATCTGCGATGTCAGGCAAAGTCTTATGGAATGTGAAAGTAGGTTAAGAGTAGAAACCATTGATAATCGTAGCTTCCCACCACATCATATTGAAAAGAAAGAAGATTTGTGGTTAAAGAAATACAAGAAAAGTGTTAGGAGTAGGAAACAAATAAAATAACGCCCTAAAAACTGTAATATTCTTTAGAAATAGATCTTCATAGCCTTTATTTGACTACAGTAGAACTAGGCCAGAGGTTGAAATACTGTGTTTAGAAAAATATTCATACCAAAAGTTTTCTTGGTTTTCTCCTGTAAATATATCCCATGCAATTAACTGCTATCATTGTTGATTTATTGTTGCAAGTGAGGACCAAATGGATCTTAAATTCATACAATTTTCAATAAAGGCAAAAAAAAAAAAACCCTGCTAGAAATTTTTATTTAAGTTTGTACCTATTAGTAAAACGGAGCAATGTCCACATGGGTTGTCTCATGGCTGTTTTGAAGGAAAAGAGCGTAGCAATAACAATAGCACTTAGACTTATATACCACTTCACACTACTTTACAGCCCTCTCTAAGCAGTTTACAGCGTCAGCCTGTTGCCCCCAACAATCTGGGTCCTCTTTTTACCCACATCGGAAGGATGGAAGGCTGAGTAAACCCTGAGCCGCTCAGTATCAAACTCCTGGAGTAAGCAGTGAGTTAGCCTGCAGTACTGCATTCTAACCACTGTGTCACCATGGCTCTTATTTCTTAGGTTAGCAAATACTAGAATAAGTGGGTGGACAATACAGCTAGCTCACCTCCTCCAGGACATACTGTCTAAGAACTCTGGTGCACACTGTAGGCAATCCCAAAGGACTTGAGTAACTTTGGCACTTGCTATGGAGAATACAAAAGCTTTCAGTATCGAAGCTCTTGGCCAGCACTGGAAAAAAAGACTGAAAGGATCTTCTCCTGGGCACTATCATGCCCAAGGGTTTAGGCAGTGGTGGGGTTCAAATTTTTTTACTGCTGGTTCTGTGGGTGTGAATTTGTGAGTGGGGTGGGGCTTTGCGGGCATGGCAGGGGAAGGACACTGCAAAATCCCAATTCCCTCCCCACCCCACTAACCTGCTTTCCAGCTCCATTCCCCTGTTTAGGGTAACAAAAGAAGATCATCTAGGAGGCTGGGAAGCAGCGAGGATGGGGTCAGTCTATTTGCCGGTTCTCCAAACTACTCAAAATTTCCACCACCGGATCTCCAGAACCTGTCAGAACTGGCTGAATACCACCTCTGGCTTTAGGGTCACACAAACAGCATTCTTATGGTGAATTAGGTGACATCTTCATTTTAGTTAAGCAAATCAGAAAACCCAAATTGTTTCACTGTAATGAATTTTGGTCCCTTAGCACAGTCCTGATCTATATGTATGTCTCTTTCCACTACTGATGACGGAACCAATAAAACCACAGACAAATTCTTTGATTTTTGACCCTCATTTGGCCTTTGCAAGTAGTATCTTATGGAGCATAATAAGCAGATTTTTGAACTGTAGAGCCAGTTATATCGCAAAGGTCTATCTGCTAGTTTTCTTACTGTTAGCAAGTATCATTTTAACTAATTTCCTAAAATGCACATAGAAAATGCCACTTGGCACCAAAGTTGAAAAGTACCAGATGAATAGCCATAGAATGGAATAGGGATAGTAGCAAATAAAGAGAGAGAGGGAAGGAGGGGAGGGAGAGGGAGAGAGGGAGAGGGAGGGAGGGAGACTACCAACTCTTCTTATCATTAGAACATTTTATAGTCAAGAAATGGGCAACCAAGCATGTAATCAAATACAAATGCTTGTTTTATTTTTCTCCATTAAAACAATATTATTATTTTCTACAGGGAAAGATTGATTACTGCCAAATGTTTGCCATCAATACAGTAGAAGAAAATTCTCTTGTATTGCTAAAGTCAAGATATAATTTGATTGGTGTGTCTGTCTGTCTATCATCATCTATCTATCTACCTATGAACCACGGTGGCACAGTGGTTAGAACGCAGTACTGTAAACTACTTCTGCTGACTAGCGGCTGCTTACAATTTGGCAGTTCAAATCTCACCAGGCTCAAGGCTGACTCAGCCTTCTAACCTTCCGAGGTGGGTAAAATGGGGACCCAAATTGTTAGGGGAAATATGCTGACTCTGTAAACTGCTTAGAGAGGGCTGTAAAGTATTATAAAGTGGTATATAAGTCTATGTGTTATTTCTAGCCTTCCATCCTTCCAAGGTGGGTAAAATGAGGACCCGGATTGTTGTTGGGGGCAATATGCTGACTCTGTAAACCGCTTAGAGAGGGCTTTCAGCCCTATGAAGTGGTATATAAGTCTAACAGCTATTGCTATTGCTAACTGCTCTTTTTGGAGGTGGGCAGAAATTGCAACTTGGCATCTGCTTTGGCGTCCTGGTGCTTTGGGCAAAGGCTGGAAGACCTTGTTTCAGCTGGACTGCATCATGGCCTGGAACTGGCTGACCATTTCAGCCCACTGAGCCTCCAGGCACTGATACCTGGCCTTGCACTCCCGTAAGTCTTTCCTTTGCTTGGAAAGCTTATGCTCATAGTCCCCAGTGAGGTGCTTCTGCTGAGCCTCCTTCTCGGTCAGATCCAATTTGAAATGAGCCAGATGTTTTGCCACTCTTTCTCATGGTGATTGTTTAGCTTTAATGACTGCTTCCTGTTGGGGTTCTAAGAAGCCCAGGCGGGGAGGCGAGGAGTGGCTGGGAGGGGAGGGGAAAATAGAAGCTGGTGGGGCATTCCTTGATGTAAGTGTCATCGAGTTGGCCATGCCCGCCCAGTCACATGATTACCTAGCCATGCCCACCCAACTGTTCATTAGGTAGATCATATTAGGGGTCTACAGGATTTAAAATTATGAATATAGTAGTCCCTGAGGTCAGAAAGCTTGGTGACCCCTGCTCTAAGATATGGAAATCCTTCCATTCCCTCAGAGTGGCTTCAATTACTCTCAAAGAGCTAACAACCAATTTTCAGAGTGCTAATGACCAGATGAGTGCTAAGGTATATAAATCTTTCCATTCCCCACCATTCAGCCAGAACTGAAGAAGCTTCTTAGAAGGCAAGCAAAATGTCTTCCAGGAGAAAAACACAAACTCCGAGTTCCATCTGCCAGTCAGTGTCGACTGGCAACTACGCGGAGGAGAGCCTTTTCAGTAGTAGCTCTGACCCTTTGGAACGATCTCCCCGTGGAGATTCGTACCCT